GTGCTCCGGCGTCCGGCAAAAATAGAATCGATCCAATTTTCGCCGGATAGCGGAACGGCGGGCGGCGCACTGCGCCGCACGGCCGCAGTAGTGGAACAGCTCTGATTGACTACAACGGGACCGTTTTTGCTGCGGAGTTCGTGCCGGAGCGGAGATAGTGGAATTTTGGGGTAAGTTTCCTCCCTTTCCGGTCGGCTCATGGGTCCCCGGAAGAACTAAAACATGAATGCAAGTCAATGAGGCTAAAAGAGCTATTTTCTAATCCGCTTTGCCTCACGTCCTGGATCGTACATATGTTGTACTGCAATTTAAATGAAAACTAATGATGGGTGTTTCGACCACGCCAGTCACGTACTTTCAGATTTATCATTTTGTAAAAGTTCGTAACTAACATGACTACAAACTAGACATCAGCACGATGCATATGTGACATCACCACAGAATCTCCTCACCTCTAGCGTAGCTGCTACTTACCACATGGCCAGATTTATGGTGTTTTTCTCCTCCTGAAGGAAAAATTTGAAGTTCGCAAAACTTACAGCTATTTTCCCTCTGTTTTCTCCGTGTCTGGTTCGATGACGTCACTTTCCTGATGCACGTTTGTAGTCCTGGACTTATTTTCACACAAAACCTAGAATAACATTCCCCTCTCAAAAATAGTTGGAATCAAAATGCTTCTTTAAAATTCACGGACATCATATGTGAAATCCATGGCAGACAACAAGCAGAATTAGAAAATAGCGTTTTTAGCCCCACTGACTTGCATTCATTTTTTTTCGTTCTTCCGGGGACCGTGGTCCAGAAGTTGATTGGCACGACTTAGGCTCACTATTGGTTGTAAAAGCAGGAAATTACATCAGCATGTTTGTCCAGTTATTAGAAGAGTTGCTTGTGAAGCAGAATGGAAGCAAAAGAAAGTAAGCACAGATCGCTTCTTTAAAATCACTGTTACTGTCATGGTTCTGCTGCCTTCTCATCTTGTTTTGCTCCTCTAAGTTTTTTGCAGGTGGGCGTGTCGGAGAGTCACAGCTGCGGCTGATTTCCCATCAGCATGGCCAGGGGATTTAAGGAGCGGTGTTGCCACACTTCAGCACCGGTTGATACTCTCACGTTGGTATCTGCCCTGGATCCTCGTCTCAGTTCCTGCCTGCCTGAAGTGTGTTTGCCTTAACATTGCTCACCTCCCCTCGCTGCCCGCCCTCCACCGTCCACCTGCCCTGGATCAACCTCAACCATGAACAGCTCGTCTCCGCCTGACCCCTCTCTGCACAGACCAGACTTGCCTCCGCCTTCAGCCCGTTCTCAGCCCAGCACCACCCAGAGTTACATCCTGTCTCGTTTGGAACAGCGCCCTTAGTTTCCCTTTAATTTCTTTTACAATAAACATTTTTGTACTTTCTTACCTGTGTTTCCATGAGTGATTTTTTCATGTGGGTCAGGAAACTTCCACCCATCATCATGACAGTTACTAAAGTCCCAACACCGAAAAATACAGCAGAATTTCCCCCACAACAACATAATTCACTGGGCTCTGTTGTTTCATAGACCTCCATAAAAAACGAAGCTTCTTACAGTCATTGAACATCGCATTTTACATTATGCCGCTGCTCTCAACCCCCGAATGGATTAAAGTATGCACTTCGACAGAATAAATCTTTGAATGATATTAATGTTACTGCGGATGCTCTTTGAAGCTGATCAGTGACATCACTCACTGCCGAAGCAGTCGCGATAAGCTGACGTCTGTGCAAAGTCCTGAAAGGGCTGAATTTATGTGGGGACACAACAGCTGAGAGGACCGGGCCATTGTTTTTCCCCGTCTCAGAATTTACCCTAAAGTTCTGTCAGTGGAAACACAGCTTAAGTTTTTTTTCAGGTATTTGTGTTCAAAAAGTTTCGGATTATCCAAAAAACAGGAATTCAGACAGACCAGACTTTCAGTTTTATGTTATAAACTCTCACTCAGTAAAACATGCTGGAGACAAACATCAGCGCTGGTGGAAAAATAAAAACAAAAACAAAAACAGACGTCATCCCATGCGATAATCCAAAAGAGAAGTTAGAGGGCTGTTAGATATTTATGAAAAGAGAAGCGTGAATGGATTTCAATGAAGTTGGGGAAGTCATTTTTGGGTGTGTTTCTATGTATGAATCAGACAAAATGGGTTTGATTGCATTTTTAAAAAAACAGCTATTTTGTGTAAATGTAAAATGGTCATTTCTATGCAAAAAGGAAACAATTTGATATATTTAAAAATAGAGGAAATCTGTGCTTTTTAAAAAACACTAAATTATAGACAAAGCAAATAAAAAATAAAATAAAGCCGCTGCCGGAGATGTTTCTTGTTATCGACTTTGGAGATGTCCAAGGTTGAAGGAGCTGTCTGGTTCCTGAATGTACCACAAGTGAGAACATTGTGCTTGTCTAGACATCAACAAACATTAGCTTCGTTCCTTCTTCGATAAACACCAGCTGACTAAAAGGATGTGTGCCTGTATACGTCTAACCTGTTCCCTTTTTTACCTTAAATGTGAACTCTGAAGGTTATAAACTCCACCTGTTCAGTTCATCCCAAAGCAGCTTATCTGTAGCAGACAACACAACCTCTCCAGGCAGTTCTTTACCCTTGTTTCCACCTTTTTCCATGGAGCCATGGTTCTGATCGTATCAGACAGAGCGGCCAGCGTACAAGCCACACTCAGAACTCCAGACCACTCCACAGTGCCACCATGTTCAATCACGCTGTCTGACCAGCTTTATCCACTCTGAAGTGCTCTCGGCAGCAGGGGGTTGACAATCAGTGCGTCTGCTTGAGAACAGAGAGGGGTTAATGAGATTTTCCCTCCTTGTCTCACTGTCATTTTACACCACAGACATGTTGAGCTTAATCTGAGCTCCACCACGACATCTGTTGCAGCTAGTTGTTTGCCTTGTTTGCAGCTCACGTGATCAAATGTATTTAAAGAGCAAGTCACCCCCTACAAGAAACTTACTTCACTCCCACTTCATGTTTGAAAAATGCAACAAATGCTGTTGCCTGGCAGACCGAGAGGGCAGAGCCGCTAACAAATACACACACAGGCTCACAACGGCATTGTGACATCATAATGTACCAGTTAGCATCATAGCATACCTCTTAGCCAATAGCGGTGGCAGATTTTAATTCAAATACAGTGCAGAGTTTTTACCTGTTGACGGCGCAACACTGACAGTTTTAGGCAGAATATTTAAATTTTAACTTAGATGCACTGAAGTACCAAATTATTGACAACACGTGTCTGAAGAACAATTAGACACTCGTTTATATAGTTTATCAGCAAAAAAAAGTTGATTTGGGGGTGACTTGCTCTTTAAGCATCTGATAGCATTTTCATTGCCCTCCAGCAGAAAAGAAGGAAAAGAGTGTGATGATGTGTTCAAGTGTTTGTTTGACTTAGCAGAATGCCCCAGGAACTACAGGATTGATTTTAATGAAACTACCAGAAAGTTTGATGCACTTCTGCAGCTGAGCCACTTTGAGATGCAACAAAACACAAAAATGGCTAAAGCTCAGTAGATTTTACAAATATTGAACTAAATGTTTTATGCAATGGCAGTTGAGAATCTATTGCAACACATGCTTTGAGTGGTAAGCGAGTGAGCAAAATCTTGCACCACAAGGCAGTTAAGATATGCATTCCTTCAATGATTGCAAGGCCTTGAATAATGGACAATTTTTGGTCATGAACGGCAACATCCAGCAACATTGCAGTGAATGATCAATTTTTAGATAAACAGCCAATTTCCCAATCATCATACAAAAGGAAAAAAAATATTCCATCAAGTGGAAGGCTTAATACAGCTCTGGGAAACCGTACTTTTCTCCAGTCGCTTGAACAACCAGAGCAAATCGGTTTCAGTGCAACAAACAACATCCTGCTTGCAGAGCTTACATGAAGCTCTGATTGTCTACCTTGCAGTTCAAATAAGTTTGACTCCATGGCACACAAGCCTAATCAGTAGCATCAAAGCAATCATTAACCAGCCTCCTTCTCCACACACAAACACAAGGAGAGAATCTAAATAACAACCCAACGCTCCTCATCATCACCTCTCACACAGAGCTCAGAAATAAAAGCGGGACCAGCTGAGTAGCATTTAGAACAGGCAAAAGCAGGACGAAAACATGTTCTCACTACAAAATGTTCAGAACATCTGAATAATGTCAATCACGACTTAAGTCTCTGCTACCAAACAGGATGTGACACATACAGCTATAGTTGCAGATGTTCATGCAGCTTCTTTAGAAATGGGACAAGCTTGTCATTTTAGGGTTTGCTGACATGTTTTGTTTCAGCTGAAATGTAGAGGACCTGCTGTTCACCAGCATGGCAGTCAGAGTGTTTTAAACCAATTAAGTTTATTAAACTTGAATGGCAGAGTCGACAAATCCATAATTTTACTTTTGATGAAAAGTGCATTGGAGGGAAAGGTTTTAATTTCCATAATCACAAATCAACCCAAACGAATTTAATAAATCATATAAAATAATAACATTTGTGTTGCATGCATTCAATTCTATACATTTCTGCAGTGTATCCTCACTGAATAACAAGTGTAAACAACTCAATTTGTAAACAAGAGCTTTTCAGCATTGGCGCACCAATCTCCTCTGTGTTTATTCTGGCTCTTAAATGGTGCAAAGGTTATAAACCCGAGCCATTGGTTGTAACACGAGCAGCACTCTCCCATAGGTTAGGAGGCTACAAACACGCCACGGATAGGCTGCATCTGAACGGTCTCAGGAGGAAGCCATCTGCTCCTGTTTATGGTCCATTAACCCCCTCTGGATACTCAAGCTGCCCCCACAGCAACAGGTTCAAAAGGGCTAACAGATGATATTCAGAAGCTGTCTGGTGCTGAAGAAAAGATAACTGCCAAAGTCCTGATTTTGTGTGACTGTATGTAGATTTGCATAAATATATGTTACAAAATCAAAAAATGACCAGAAACTCCTTACCTTCCTAGAAGTCCGTAGCCGTACTGGGAATCTGCCAGCAGTAATGCGATCTCGCCCTTCTTCATGGACATGACACACTCCTCTAAAGCCTACAGGTGGCAAGAAACACAATTCCTGGGACACTTGAATGTAATTTTTCTTATTTCTTTGTGTTTTCAGTTTATTTATCAGCATCATTTACTTTGACAGAGATTTGTCCCTGTTTAGATTGCTTAGCTTATTTAATATTTTATGTCCTCTGATCGTTAGTTCCCCTCCCTGACACTGCTGTGCCACCTTCTCACCTGTTCTCAGTCAACAGTCTATGTCCCTGTATTACCAGTCCCCAGGGTTTCTGTTTCATATTCTGCTGTAGACTTGCCATACATGTCTGCTCTTTACCTCCAACCATGACACAACCTTTATTTCTACATCACATTATTGTCAAGTAATGCTGTTTAATTACCTCAGGATTAACTTTGCCCTGTCTTTTTCTCCTTTCATCAGCAATACCTTTCATTAGTAATGATTGTATGTTCACTCTATGAGCGTGCTGCTGCTAGCTTTCAACACATTCATGCTTATGAATCCACTAGAATGGACTCAGTGACCTATTTCTGTTTGTTTGAAACACACACACACGCACGCACGCACACACACACCCACACACACACACACACACACACACACACACACACACACACACACACATACACACACACACCCACACACACAGGTGAAGATCCTGCCATTAGGCTTACCTGAATCACATCCCCCTCTCCAATCACAAACACAAGCTTGCAGTCCTTCTCCACTACGGTTCGGTCCTCAAGAACACCCTGCATCTTCACAGTGACCTCCTGACCCCAAACGGGATGAAGGACTTGTGAATCCCCATTTTGCAGCACTTTCTTCCTCAAAAGCCGGTCCTCTGTGTCAGGAGCGTGGAAACGGACACACAGTAAAAAGTGGGATTATGCTAGCTGTGGATTTGTTTGTCCCAGAGGCTCTTCAGAGGGATTTTTTTATTTTAGTCTATGAGATTTATACATTTTTATTATTATTTCAACAAAAAAAAAGAAAGAAAGGGGAAATTTTTTATATTCTCAGAGGATGCCTTCTAAAATCTAAATTCTCAACAGGATGCGTTCTGCCTTTGGATGTTTTCTCACCTGTGATGTTCTCCCAGTTCTCAGCTGTGAACAGCTCCTCAAAGGGAGTATACGTCCACTCCTCTACAGCATATTCTGGGAAGAGAATCTCGGCCGAGCTGTCCCACTCCAACACATCATCCTCTGTTGAGGGGTCTTGAAATCGAACCATCTTCCAGCTGTTTGTTTTCCTCAGCTTTCTGCGTTCCTTGCATTCTGTCTCTTTCCTCTCCTCCTTGGAATGAGTTGAGCTTTTTACCTCAGTGGTCCTACTTCTCTCAGCGCAGCCTCCAGTTTCAGCCTGCTCTTTCCCACAGGGTTTCTCACCTTCCTCCACAGGCCCACACGGCCGCTCAGTCAGAGAATCGCTGCCAGCATGTTCAGAAACGGTTTCTCTTACCTCAGGCTTGGTAATGTCTTCTGCTGGGTCCTTCTTCTCTTCACAATACGTCTCCATTTCTTCACAAAGAGTGATGGACACCATCTGCATTAGCACCAAAAAGAGATAATCCGTAGTTGCTCAGCCAGCGATCCACTGGGATGCAGATAAGTCCTTCTCCGAGGCAACTATATTTTATTTGAATGAAAAAATGTCTGTGTCGCAGCATTTCCAACAATCCACGTTGTGGTCAAGTAAATCTAACTCGGACTGCATCCGAAATGTTTTGGTTCATCAGATATTTCCGAAGATTTGCCCTGCCTGCAGCTTCTGTTGCACTTTGACCCCCTTCCCCTAACAGACTACATCCATCTGAGTCAACTTCGTTCTGTGATGCAGCAGCAACAGAAAAAAAAGATCAATGTGAAGAACCTGCGCAACGAAGCCCTCGCAGCCAGCAGGCTTGTGCAGTGGTAATCTGCAGGATTAGAAGGGGAAAAAAACTAATCTGACAGAACGTCTGTAAGCTTCTTAATGACCTCACTGTCCTGCTGCAGAATGCTGTTTTCATGAGGGCAATATTGTGATATCTGCTGCTAAGAACATGGAAAATTGAAGCTTTAACTTGTTTTAATTTGAGTGACACCATAAGCCATTAAGCTACAATAGCCAGCAGGACGGAGAAGAAAAATCACCGGTATCCTGTTCAATTATCATCTTTATCTACATATTTAATAAGTAAATAAATGTTTTTAAGCACTAAAGCTCCTATTAGCCATTTTTTCAGTAGGATGACACATAAAAACAGTATTTTTAAGAAATAAAATATTTTGAATCTGACGTGTTCACTTTTGGGTAACTCCAATCCAACAGCTGAGATCACAAAATATGAGTGGGGAAAAAAGGGGTTGTTTATTTTCCAAGAAAACCTGTGATGGTATTTTCATCTAAACAAAAACTGATCTAAGACAGGAGTCCGTGCATGTGATGATTCTGCTTTATGCATGATTTTATGATTATAAAACAAGACTGAGTTCTAACAACAAGTTCTGCATGACCTCAATTTAGGTCTTCAAACCTTAAATTTATGTACATTTTATTTGCCACCAAACTGTGTCACTAGAATGTAACCAAGTATGTTACTATACTTATCTAAGCCTACTTTTGATTTTACTCCACTACATTTTAAAGCAGTTATCTGCACTTTCTACTCCATTACATTTTCTAAAACGTTTCTAAAGTAAAAGTACTTTGTGTTTTGTCTGACTACTCTATCCTCAGTTTGATGGCCCCGGCAGCACATTACATTGTCTTCCCCAAACTATAGTCGTGTTTGTGGTAATAGTAGTAGCACACTTCTAAACACACAACAACCTATTTAAATCCTAGTTGAATTTTTTTACTTTTAAATTTGAAAATGCATACTTTTAACGTACTTTTACTAAAGTCAAAAATGTCTTGGATACTTACTTCCACTTTTACTCAAGTATGTTTTTTACCCCTTTATTTATACTTGTTCTCAAGTAACAAAAATGGGTAACATTTTACAATAAGGATTATTAACATTATTTAGTGTGTTATTAAGCATTATTAAATCAATAAATAAAGTATTATCTAACTGCATGGACCCCCAACTACCTCACCAACAGGCCACAGTACCTGAGACAGCAGAACTGTACATCTGAGGTGGTTGTGTGTAGTACCGGAGCTCCACAGGGTACGGTGCTCTCACCCTTTCTATTCACCTTTTACTCCTTTGACTTCACCTACAACACCAGCAGCCGTCACCTCCTGAAGTTCTCTGATGACTCGGCCATTGTGTTGAGTGTGTGGCTAAGGTCAGTTATCATTGACTTTGTGTGGGGGTGAACATAACCACCTTCCCTTAAACACCAGTAAAACAAAGGAAATGGTGATTGACTTCCAGAGAAACACTCTTCCTCACTCACCGGTAAACATCCAGGGTGAAGATATTGAGGTGGTGGATACCGTACCTGGGTAAACTGAACTGGCCCCACAATACTGATGCCCTGTAAAAAGGGCCAAAGTCAACTCCACCCCCCTGAAGGGGCTGAGGTCCTTCGGAGTTAATTCCCATCTGCTAAAATAGTTTTATAACTCAGTTTTTGACTGTGTTATTCACTCTGCTGTGGTCTGTTGGGGTGCAAGCAGCTCTGATCGAGACAGGAAGAGACAGATTGAGCTTGTTAGCAAAGCTAGCTCGGTTCTGGGCTGCCCACTGGATTCTGTGGAGGACATGTGTGACAGAAAGATACTGGTGAAGCTGAACTCCATCTTGGAAAAACACTCCTGCCCACTGTGTACTGTGGAGACCATGGACAGCTCCTTTAGCGGCAGACTAACACATCCAATATGCAAAACCAAATGCTATCATAGGTCATTCATTCCCACCGCAGTGGGAGTGTATAACTCCACCTTAACTGCTACTGTCACGATCCTGTCACATGCTAACATCAGAGCTACATTCAATATGTGTGAAGCACCTGTGCAATACCCGGATACACATTTCTACATCTGCATCTTTATACAGTTTCTTCCTGAAATGTTGGTTCTCTATTTTTACTCTGTTTTATTCATTTATTGATTGCTGAATGGACCCCCAACTACCTCACTACATTCCTTGGGTATTTACCTGCATTATTATTTTCCTATTTCTCCAAATGTATGTGCTGCCTTAACAAGTGGACTTTCCCACTGTGGGATGAATAAAGTCTATTCTGTTCTATTCTATTAACTGCATTAATGCATTACTAAGCAGACACCCTCCCTAGCCCTTTGTCCTAATCTTAAGCACACTTAACAGTGTTGTGCAACTTTAATTTCTCTGACATAAATTTAGTCATTTCATTTGTTTGAGTTTAATCAAAATTTTAATTTATCTCTGTTTTAAAATGCGCAATTTTAATAAATAATTAGATTTGAAAGCATACTGAGTTTTGGCTAAATTTGAATCCAAATTACTCACTTTATCATAAATCAGTCATTGTGAAATGGAGTAATAGGAAATGGATACAATAATATATGTTTAGCTTTTTTTTTCTTTTTTACAAAATCATTGTCAACCTTTTATGGATGGATTTTTAAGAATTGTGTTTGTTGGAGAAAAAATCAGCTTATGTGCTTCCTTTTGGTCTAATTTGGAAGTAAAACAGACTTTCAGCTCTGCTGTGAAATTCACAAATTTTCTTTGATACTTTGTTTCCAAAATAATGATCAGGTGAATAATATGCAAATTAATTGTTGACCAAAACATTTGGTTAAGTTCCAGATATTACAAATATGTGGTTTTACAATTAGTTTGTAGAAAACACTTAACTAAAAAAAGGAAAAATGAAAACTCAAGTCGACCTTTTACTTTATGCAGCGTGCGCGCGCTCGCGCGCGCGCGTGTGTGTGTGTGTATGTGTGTGTGTGTGTGTGGTGTCACGAGAGAACACAAGATTTAGTTGCCTAAATCCAGCTGGAGTTGGGTTTTTTGACCAAAACACATCAAAGAGCACATACAGCCTGAAAGTCACCAGAAAAACGAAAGCAAAGTATTTTTTTTTACCCTCTTTGGATTTACTTCTTATTTATGTGTGAGCGCACTTGTGGTTCGTGCGTCCCTGCGTGTGCGCATAAGCCCCGCCCCTCACGTCGCCTCCTCCGTGACGTCTCGGGCGGAATGTCGCCAATGGGCTTCAGTTGTAGAAATGGCAGCGCTGAGACAGGAGCGTCGGTATGGGCTCTCCTGTGGCAAAATTAACAAAAACACCCCGAACCAGACGCTTTATCACGTTAAACTGACTGACACTGCTATCCGAACCGTCGAAGCATACCAGAACATCAAGGTAAGGACATTTACGAGCCTTAAAATGTTTATTTATGTAAAATTAATATTTTCTTCTTTATTATCGTGACCAAAACTAACGCTTGCTCCTCACATTTAGCAGTTAAAACAGTAAAGTTTGAACTAAAAGTGATTTTGACACGTTGGGTTAGTTTGACTCATTTCCGTCAATATTACACATATAATCTGGGTAAAGGCATGGATTTTAATGTATTCCTCCATGTTTTCCAAGTAAACTAGCTTTGAGTGGAAACATTTAAATGACCTATTAGTTACTCTGTGCTGAAAACGCGTGCTGGTGCTTTGATTTGAGAATGTTCTGAAGTTGTTGCTTTCTCTCTTCTTGCGCTTTTGGAAATAGAGTAATAAACATGCTATAAGGCAAATAATTCGTTTGCTCTGAATTGGTTTTACTGCCTTTATGGTCCATTAGATCAGACGGAGATGATTTTTATCTTGCAAGTGGTCTTCCTCAGGTGAAACAGTTTGTGCCTCAGAGATGATGTGTCTTGAGAGAGGAGGCTGCTGGTTTGGTGGAGTGGTTTCAGGCTAAAACTGGACCTGTACTCGGTGGTTCAGCTGTGGACTATATAAACAGCGGGTTCGTGAGTTGTTGCTGAGCTCTTGTGTATTGTTGTTTTCTGCCCTTTACACGCCTGGGAGCCCGCCCATCTCCGGAGCTCATTGGTCTGTGAAGCAGAGCTAAACTCCAGAGTCTGACAGTTTTCCTCCAGGCCACAGCAGGCGAAGCAGAGCAGAGGTTACAGCTAAAACAGAGAAAAAAGAAAGGTTTTCCAAGGAAAGACCACCCCAGCAAATACTGGTTCAGACCACTGGACACCCACTGTGCTGTGGAAGGTCCTGTCCTGCAGGAAACTCAACATGACAGCTTGTCACATTGTTAGGATTTAGATTTCCACTTCAGTTTTACGGGGAGGTGGGCTTACCACCCTTTCCAACAAGTAGTTTTATGCACAGAAACTTTTGTTCACACCAAATTCATAGGTGGCCTATAGATAAGAGCAGCAGTAGCTCAGGAGGTGGAGCAGGTTGTCCAGTATTTGGAGGGTTGTAGGATCGATCCTGGATCCTGAAAGAGAATTCTGCTTTTGTGTCCTTGGGCAAGACACTTAACCCACCTTGCCTGCTGGTTGTGGTCTTGGGGACCGGTGGCACTTGTGCTTGGCAGCCTTGCCTCTGTCAGTGCGCCCCTGGGCAGCTGTGTCTGCCATGTAGCTCATCATCACCAGAGTGTGAATGGATGAATGGTTCACTGTAGTACAGCACTTTGGAGTCCTCTGACTCTGAAAAAACGCTGTACAAGTGCAGGTCAGTGATCATTTTATTAAGATCTTTTCATGAATCTCAAAAAATGTTAAACACTGAAATAAAATATTAAAATGCAGCTCGTTAAACAGTTTAAATGACTTTTAAATTGCAGCTCGGATCTTTTGAAATGAGTTTCTGTGAAAATATGAACAGTCAACATCTTACCTGTTGTAGAAAGCTCTTGGAATGGCTTCATTTTGTAAAAATAAACATTAGTTCTGATCAAGCAGTTGCGTGGTGGCTTAAAGCAATTCCAATCTCAAAACTACACCCAAATCTAATTTAAAAGACCTGAACTATCCCATGAAACTCTATCAAGATATGGATTCTTTTTTACCTGGGAACAGGTTGGAACTGTAGGGAAATGTAGCTGGCTTGATTAGTGAGTAGTTTACATATAAACACATTAATGTCTCATGATTTTCTTGTTTTTCTATTGTTGGAGGATTCAATAGAAACTTGTTTTGGGGTGTAAGTGGATTGAAGTAACCAGTGAAAGCAATTTTGGTTTTGGAAAATCTTTGTTAAAAAAATGTAGTTATTTTTTGATCATAACTAAAACAGTGATAATATAAAAACAAGCCCCACACACAGTTGGCTTGGCCTACCAGTTACACCTCTTTGATTTGTTCAAAACTGAATATTAGTTAAATTGTAGCATTATATATGGATTAAAGACTTTAAGAATCAGTTCAATGTAAATAAAACACAAGACCCCCCAAAAGGACCAAACCTATTAACAAATAAAAGCTCTGACAGTCACAACTGATTTCAGTTGCTCTGTATTTCTGCTGCCATCTTCAGTCTTCATATATTTCTTCTTTCTGCTCTAAGCAAACTTAATTATTGTTATAGAATAAAGGTGTGGTTGACTGAAAAACAATGTTTTTATTGTAATTTGTGATTATAATCAGTCACTCTGAGTTTTTCATGCACGCTGAACATGAAAATGGTCTCCTACACCTATCTCCTGTGTTAGCTTCTGATAGAAAATAGACACCTCCTTGAACCGTCACCTTATCGTGGTGGAGGAGTTTGAGTGCCCTATTGATCCTAGGAGCTATGTTGTCTGAGGCACTTTGTGCCCCTGGTAGGGTCTCCCATGACAAGTGGGTCTTAGGTGAAGGGTGAGACAAAGAACAGTTCAGAAAATCTTTCATGGACATAAAAACAAAGAGTCGGAGTACCCGGCCCGGTGGGTTACCGGGGTCCCACCCTGGAGCCAGGCCTGGGGTTGGGGCCCGTGAGCGAGTACCTGGTGGCCGGGCTTTCGCCCATGGGGCCCGGCCAGGCCCAGCCCGAACCGGATACATGGGCTAATCCAACTGTGGACCCACCACCCACAGGAGGAACATGAAGGGTCCAGTTCAGTGTGCATCGGGTGGCAGACCAAGGCGGGAGCCTTGGCGGTCCGATCCCCGGACAAGGAAACTGGTTATTGGGACATGGAACGTCACCTCGCTGGCGGGTAAGGAGCAGGAGCTTGTGGCAGAGGTTGAGCGGTACCGGCTAGATATAGTCTGACTCACCTCGACACATGGCATTGGCTCTGGAACCCAAGTCCTTGAGAGGGGTTGGACGCTCTCCTTTGCTGGAGTTGCTCCGGGTGAGAGGCGGAGGGCTGGGGTTGGCTTTTTGTTAGCCCCAAGACTCTCTGCCTGTGTGTTGGGGTTTACCCCGGGGGACGAGAGGGTAGCTTCCCTCCGCCTTCGGTTCGGGGAACGAGTCCTGACTGTTGTTTGCGCTTATAGGCCAAATATCAGTTCAGATTACCCACCCTTTTTGGAGTCCCTGGGATGAGTGCTAGATAGTGCTCCATCAGGGGACTCCATTGTCCTGCTGGGGGACTTCAATGCTCACGTGGGCAATGACAGCATGACCTGGAGGGGTGTGATTGGGGGGAACGGCCCGCCTGATCTGAACTCGAGTGGTGTTATGCACATTCCGAGGAGGAGCCAGAGCCGGGAGACCTGGGGATGGACTGTCCAATCTCTGGGGCAGAAGTTGCTGAAGTAGTCAAACAACTGCACAGCGGTGGAGCCCCCGGGGGTGGATGAGATTCGTCCTGGGTATCTCAAGGCTGTGGATGTGGTAGGGCTGTCGTGGTTGACACGTCTCTGCAACATTGCATGGTCATCGGGGGCAAGTTCCTGTGGAGTGGCAGACCTGGGTGGTGGTCCCCATCTTTAAGAAGGGTGACCGGAGGGTGTGTTCCAACTATAGGGGGATCACACTCCTCAGCCTCCCTGGAAAGGTCTACTCCAAGGTACTGGAGAGGAGGGTCCAATCGATAGTTGAATCTCAGATTGAGGAGGAGCAATGTGGTTTTCGTCCTGGCCTTGGAACTGTGGACCAGCTCCATACCATTGCAAGGGTGATGGAGGGGGCATGGGAGTTTGCCCAGCCAATCCACATGTGTTTTGTGGATTTGGAGAATGCTTATGACCGTGTCCCCAGGGGCACCCTGTGGGGGATGTTCCAGGAGTATGGGGTGGGTCGCCTTTTGTTGAGGGCCATTCAGTCCCTTTACCAGAGGAGCGTGAGTTTAGTCCGCATAGCCAGTAGTAAGTCGGACCTGTTCCCGATGAGGGTTGGACTCCGCCAGGGCTGCTCTTTGTCACTGGTTCTGTTCATAACCTTTATGGACAGAATTTGTAGGCGCAGCCGTGGTGTGGAGTGTGTCGAGTTTGGTGGCAGGAGAATCTCATGTCTGCTTTTTGCGGATTATGTGGTCCTCCAAGCTTCATCCAGCTCTGACCGTCAGCTCTTGCTGGGTACGTTCGCGGCCGAGTGTGAAGCGGCTGGGATGAGGATCAGCACCTCCAAATCTGAGACCATGGTCAGCCTGACGAAGTTTGCAGCCGCAAACAAAATGTTGCAGGTAAATAAAACCTTTCTATGTTTTAAAAAGAACTAAAAGATGGAATGAGACCATGGTTCTCGACCGGAAAAGGGTGGCTTGCCAACTCCGGGTCGGGAGAGAGGTCCTCCCTCAAGTGGAGGAGTGTAAGTATCTCGGGGTCTTGTTCACGAGTGAGGGTAGGAGGGATCGGGAGATCAACAGGTGGATTGGTTCGGCATCTGCAGTGATACGGACGCTGAGCTGATCTGTCGTGGTGAAGAGGGAGCTGAGCCAGAAAGCCAGGCTCTCGATTTACCGGTCGATCTACGTCCCAATCCTCACCTATGGTGATGAGCTTTGGGTAATGACCGAAAAAACGAGATCGCGAATACAAGCAGCCGAAATAAGTTTCCTCCGTAGGGTAGCCAGGCTCAGCCTTAGAGATAGGGTGAGGAGCTTGGACATTCGGGAGGGACTCGGAGTAGAACCGCTGCTCCTCCGGATCGAACGGAGTCAGTTGAGGTGGTTTGGGCATCTGGTCAGAATGCCTCCTGGACGCCTCCCTGGGAGGTATTTCGGGCATGTCCTGCCGGCAGGAGGCCCCCGGGTCCATCCAGGACACGTTGGAGAGGTTACATCTCCAATCTGGTCCGGGAACGCCTTGGGGTCCTGCCGGAGGAACTGGTGGAGGTGGCTGGGGAGAGGACGGTCTGGAGCTCCCTAGTTGGGATGCTACCCCAACGACCCGGACCCGGACAAGCGGAGGAAGACGACGAGAAAATAGACAGTGAAATGCTAGGATTAGAAAATCCTCACATATCTATGTCACACTGAGTCTGCATTCATGGCCATGCCCGTTTTGGCCCATGTCCCACCCACAGGGAGGCTTTTTCTTTTAATTTTTACATCAAGGAGAGTGTCTTGGTGATGGTGGCAATGTCCAAATTCAGGGGTTGTATGCTGATGAGGACCCATCCTCATTGGTCTCAGGAGAACCAGGCCCCCACAATGCAGCTCTGACATTGAGTCAAACCCGGAAGTGAAATAAATTGCAGTTCCACCCTCATCCGCTGGGGGCTGGTGTCAGAAACAAGCAAATCCTCATCGACTCCCATGTTAAAAATATCAATTTCACAGCAGAAATAAACATGTTTACAGCCTGGTACCAAAACATGTTTTTGGTTTAAATAATCTAGTTTACACTCATGACAACTCTGAGGGGGGTGAATTTTTTTTCTCATTCTTCTGTTTAAGTGTATTAAAAGCCTAAAATTCTGTATAATTAATGAGCATCCGACCCACTTGACCACAAAGCTAGCTCCGTGGAAAGGCCTCAGTAGATCCTCGGCCTGGCTTGGAAACTGCTCCGGGATTTTGAGTCTCTCTGTGTGTGTATTCTTGTTTGGATATGTTTTGTGCAATTGTTGGACAAAATGACTTTATGTGGCATTAATTGCACTAATAGAGCGTCCAAGGAGTCTCCACTTCATTTTTTTTGGTAAGTAAAATTACATTTATGTATTTTAGGTCACTGCCGAGCTGAGCTTAGATTTTAACATGTACTGTTTAACCATGAAATTTAAATGTAATAGGGTAAACCCCAGTGCATTTAACATAATGCTGCACTTTAGAAAATGGGTTGAAATATAACATGTTGGTGGAGCTGGGTTCAGACTATTGGCTTGTGGAGCTCTCGGGAGACCGATGTTTTCCACCCTTATCCCCTCCCCACAGCCCGGTCCATCTCTGTCTGATCGCGGCTTCTATTTGCTGCGCACGGGCTGACGGCTGGTTCTCCCAGCAGCTCAGCGCATCTGTCTGATTGCGGCTTCTGTTAGCTGCGCGGGCTGACGGCTGGTTCTCCCAGCAGCTCGGCGCATCTGTCTGATCGCGGCTTCTGTTAGCTGCACGGGCTGACGGCTGGTTCTTATGGCAAGCCAGAACCGCCAAAATACGCCACTTCTCCCTGCAGCTCGGCGCATCTCTGTCTGATCGCAGCTTCTGTGTGCTGCGCGGGCTGACGGCTTGTGGAGCTCTGGGATGGAAACCTTTCCACCCGGTTCTCCTCTGCGGCAGCTCTGCGCATCTCAGATCGCAACGGCGCTTGTCTGCTGTGCGGCTGCCGGCTTGTGGAGGTCTCCGAGACTCTGAGACCTCTGTGTTCCACCCGGTTTTACCCAGCGGTCAGCTCGGCATATCTCTGACTCAGAAGCTCTGGTGTTGTGCACAGTTAACTCCGGTTGTAGCTAGGTTGCTACCTCCGTTAGCTTAGCTCCCACCTCCACATTAGCTTTGGGTTAGCTTCAGGTTAGCTTGTAGCTAGTTCGGCCGGGTGTCGTCAGTTGATCCCAGCCTTACAGCCCCACCCTCAGCTCCTCCTCTCTTCCCTTTTATGGAATTATCTGGGCTTGACGGAACCTGTGACGGTCAAAATGGCGGTGGTGGCCACCTCCCATTTTAGCAGAAAAACTTGTTATTGGAGGCTATGGAAACCCATTGTCCATATATTTATGTCGATGAGGAGAACGCGTTCTCCCGTGACCGGTTGAACCGGATGTTAACAGCTGTGAATTTGGACAGTCTAGCCTATAGTCCCACCCCTACTTCAGCGCATGTCCTCCTGTCACCTAGTCAGGATCTGCTCTGGAGTGGTTCTCCTCTTATCTTTCTGACCGCTCCTTTTCTGTGGCCGTCTCCAAGTTTAGGTCCTCCACCACCTCCCTTACTTATGGAATCCCACAAGGTTCTGTGCTGGGGCCTCTGCTCTTCATCCTCTATCTGCTTCCTCTTCAGCACATCCTGAGCTCCTTCAAAGGAATCTCCTACTATCTTTATGCAGATGACATCCAACTGTACATCTCCCTTAAGCCCCATGAGATGTCTAAAGCCGAGCGTACACTGTGCGACTTTTTGACTTTTTTTGAGCCGATTTTCCACTTGTGCGAGAATCCACAAGTTCGGGGCGAGTTT